TGTCTCTCCCTGTTTTTAAACTTACTCCAAATATAACCTTGTTCTCTATTAGTTTCTGGTCTATTTGTATTAGGATTTAAGTCTTTGCAAATAATGAAAGGAAAACATCAATATTCTTACTCTAATCACCTGAAGAAGGGGGAAGGAAAAAAGCTGTAGCCACCCAACTTAATCTTTCTGTTAACCTCTCTAGTTGTGCATACAATTGGTTCTAAAGTCTTCTCATAATCATAGGATCTTCATCTCTTCATGTGAAGTCAACCTGCACAACACTCACACTGGTCCTCTGAGCACTGGCATGGGGAAAAAACCCACCCAAAGGGTAGATAAAAGATGTCACTGTCTCCCAGCAGCCATGACTTTTCCTCCAGCAGTCCCTGCTGGCCTTCTAATTCTACATCGATGCTTCCAAATTACTCCATGCAGCTTTTAAATTTCAGGTGATCATTTTTGCCCCTAGGCTTAACAAAACTCAGAGAAGTTGTTACAAAGGCCGTGGCACTCAAAGAGCTGGATGGGGAGGTGAAAGAACATGTCCAGCTGCTTGAGACTGACCGATGTGTGGTCTCCTTTTTTTGTTCTCCGTCTATGTGGACTATAGGAGCATGTATGATAAAAAGTGGGAATTAATATTCTCGATATTTTTATCTCCAGACACTGAGCCATGGACATTGAGCTTTTCTTAACAGCTCTCCAGACTGCACAGTCCTGAGAGTCAGTGCTGCACAGGGCTTCCCTCTCTGACCTAGTTCAACATTCAGCGAAGGTTTCTGCAATTCAGAAGGAATCCCCAGTTTAAGCAGTGACCATCAGAAAAGCTGGGAGATGCACTTTTGGGCATCCGCTGCTATGCTGGAGAGGAGGTTCGGTAGAGGAGCTGAACTAAATGCACAACCAAGAATGTAAACCTTTCTTTTTCATCAGAGCCCAGATAAGGTGAGAAGAGGCTGAAATAGAAGGTCTGAAGGGTAAAGGGCAGGAGCTGAAGGTGGGACAGTAGGAGTTATGGCCCTGCAAAGCAAGCAGGGGCTGGGATACCATCAGGGATTTAGGGAGAGCAGGAGTGATCTGGAAGAAGTAAAATCTGATGAGTCAAATAAAAGGACAGATGAATAAAAGGACTATGGATAATTTCTTCTGGAGGTAGAAGTAGATGGCTTGTACAGTGGACGTCATGTCTGGCTACATCCCACAGCGCTTCCAGAGGGCAAGAGATTTCAGAGTGTGTTCCCTGTAGTTAACGGGTCGGAGCAGATGAAGGTTTGTGAATCAGGAGGCCAGGGAAGGATGAGGGAGGTCTTCCTCAAGAACGAAGGGCAGCTCGCATGCTCCTTGTGTGTGAGATATGGAAGGCCAGATGGTTGTGGCCCAGAAAGCAGTTTCACACATGGACATCTTGGCAGTTGGAGATCTTGGTGCAATTGCTAATGAGAATAAAACCCAGAGTGCCTCTACACTGGCAGACAGCGTGGGATGGTGTGAAGGCCCCTGGAATAAATGTGGGCACAGGAGCTGTGATTAAGTGATGACTTTGAATTTGAGAAGATGAGGCAGTAAAATGAGTGGGAAGGAACTCATGAGGCAGGTCCTGCTAGGGTGTAAGCCGTGCTGAGGAGCTGGAGTGGGTAATGAATGACACAGTAACAGGAGGAAGAACAGCAGAAGGAAGAGCCTGCCCTTAAGAAGAGTGATACCCCAGAAATGGTCACGGGGTTTGCAAAGCCTGGGAACTTTCCCTGTTGGCCTTGGGGTTAGTTAGTCTTCACTGCAGGGTCTGTGAGGGATGCCACGTGACTTGGAAGATACAGTCACTGTTCATGTGAGTGGGTGAAGGATGGGGCAGAGAATGATTTGAGGATGTAGGAAAGCTTGTCCTTCACAGGACTAAAGTTCTGTAAAGATCTGTGAAAACATTTAGGATAATAGTTCTTACTTTGACTGTACAATAGAATAACCCAAGGGGTGCTAAACAAAAGCAGCAGCAACCATGATACAATAACACCCAGGTGATCGGGACCTTTGGACTGGGACCCTAGAGCGAGTAGTTTTCAAATCTCTCTGATTTGTATGTGCGTGGGATAGAGAACTACTGATTTAGGAGGAGCATGAGTGAGGAGGGGGTGGCCCTAAAGGAGGAGGAGGTGTTGGGAAGGGATGATGGTCGAGCTTATGGGCAACAGCCAGTAGAGAAGCAGGGAGATTGAGAGAGACTGGTGGGGAAACATGAGCATGCAGGGTGCCAGCAAGGCAGAGCTTCAGTGATGAAGGGCCTTCCTGAGTTAGTCAGCCTCAGGTTCCAATTCAAGCGTGGTATGCGGCAGTGTGGGAGGGACCGAACTAATTGTCTCTTCTGTATGTTGGATAGACTGTTTACCTATAACAAGGATTTTGGTATTTCTGCATTATTAAAAGGCCATGAGGTACAAGAAAGCCTTATCCATTATTCATGTCTGTTTCAGGCTCAATGCAGGATCCCCAGATGCTGAGAATGTATAAATGTCTACTTGGAAAGGGTTGACTGTGATTCAAACTGCTTTCGGGTTGTTAGTTTTTAAGCCTGTTTGTCAGTCTGTCTTGGTGTTGACCATTTGTATCGCTTTTCACTAATTCCAATAATAGAAATATTTTAAGAAATAGGACTTTTTGGCATGGATTTGTGTACATCTGTTGGAAAGAAAGGTCAAGAGTGTCTGAGTATAAGAACTGTGTGTGTGAATATAAAGTATGTGTATCAAACACTTCAAATATAGGGTGGATCTTCTACAGTATGTGTTTTGCAATGATTTTTTCTTATAATTGTTAAAAAGATTTGCCAGACTCAGACCCCATGGCTCCTCTTCCCTAAGAAGAATTGAAACTTAGGATGATTTCTATTTGACAGTGCCTTAGAAGTTTTACATTTGCAAAAAATGTAAAAGAGACGACCTTAAGCTTTATACTAGCGCTGTGTGTTCACATCATTTATTCAACATCAGAAAGTCTTACAGGATCAACCACCTGACATATATCGACCTCCTCCCCCTTGATATTTTGCCTGATCACCATGGATGCCAAATATCAATATTATACCATTGGTTCCCAAGTCTCTACCTCAGGCTGACTATGTCTCATCCCATCCCTGGGCCCAACCTGCAACACTCAGTTTTGAGGACCCACAACTGCTCTCTGGGTGGAAACTCCAGAAGGAACTACTGTGATTTTCAGAAAAAATTTCTTTCCTTGGCTTCCTTGACACATTTTTCTTTGACTTCTCCTCTTCCCCGGGGTGCTCAGCCTTCTGTAGCAGCTTTGCTGGCCCACTCCCACCCCCCTTGCAATGGCAGGGCTACCCTTGGTCCCTGTGCTCTGGGGCATGGTTCTTCAAGTGACTCACTTGGAAGAGTGGTGGGTTCAGCCTTCTGCCAGTTGCCCTAGCAGGAAGCCTGTCTTCTCACTCAGTAGCTGTGTGACCTATAGCAACTTACTTAACCTTTCTGTGCCTTGGGTTGCACATCTGTAAAATGGGGATAATGGTATCTTATAGGGTTATTATGAAAATTAAATGAGTTAATAAAAACATTTAGAATCTTGACTGGCACATGTATTGTTATTATTTTCTCTTCCTCCTCCCCCTTGATATTTTGCTTGATCACCATGGATGCCAAATATCAATATTATACCTTCGGTTCCCAAGTCTCTACCTCAGGCTTTGTTCTCTGTCCAGGGAGACACACCGATATCTCTATCTGTCCCTTGGGCATCTCTGTCCTGGTTTAATTCATACCTCTAACTCAATGTTTGGAAAACAAAGTCACCACACCCACACCCAAAAGCTCCCTGCCTTCCTAGTTGTTACTATTACTTAGAAGCAGACTTGATCTCAGCCCACTCAGGGTTGGCCACCAGGCCCAGCAAGAGTGACTTGAATGGGGCCTTCCATACCTACTCCCTTTTTCTCCTGCCTTTGTCCACTCCTGCTCACCCAGGCTTTTCTTACTCTGTCTCTCGACGTCAGATTCAAATTTCTCAGGTACATTTCCAATCATGTCTTTCTTTTGTTTAAATCTCTCTAGTAGCTCTCCATTAACTCAAGAAACTCCATCCCCACTCCTCTTTCTGTAGGCAAGGCCTATCCCAATAAAACTATCTATCATTCAAGGCTTACTGGAAATATTAAGGTCAGGATAGAACCTGTATTTACTGTTCCCTCTATGCTCCTTCATTCTATTCCCTTTGCCTAGAAATCTTGTATTTTTCCCCATTATTTTCAAACTGTACTTCCATTAGGGCCAATCTCAAATGTTAGCTTCTTATCAGGTATCCTCAAAATAACACGGTGCCTCCCTCTCTAACTCCCGTAGAACTCTGCATTCATCTATGGCGTTATCACACTCTGACTTGTCTTCTAGCCCTTGGCATACTTCTTTTATTCCTCCTTCTAGATCATAACTTCTTCAAAGGTACTTACCATATCCTTTAAAGTTTCAAATGGGGTACAACAAATGGCAGTAATGGCACCAGGAATTAAGCTCATTTATTCTGCCAAGCAGCAAGCAGCCTGTTGTCAAATGCTAACCCTTTTCCTCACAGTCCTCATAAAAAGAACGGGAAAGCATATAAATGAAGCGACACACAAGAGAAACATACAGTATGAGCAATTGCGCCAATTCCTTTTATAGGAAGAACACAGCTGAGATAATCATGGAAGCAGATTATTTACCATCCATGGGTCCTGTTGCCAAATTCTTCCACTCCTAAATTTTTTATTAAATGAAATCAAAGAAGGTAAACAAAGGAGCCCTTGGGAGGAATCAGCATAATGGAAACAGCTCATTTATCAGCATGGCCTCAAAGAAATGTCTATCTTTTTTTTTATTTTTATTTTTTTAAGCTGCATCTTTTGGGGCCAAATGCTTGTGCTCACCCACCTGGGTACACACACACATATACATCTTCTCTAGGTGCAAAACCTTGGCTTTGGTGTGAAGGTGAGGAAGGCAGGTCAGGTGGGAGCCACTTACCTTCAGGGCATCCTGGGTGTCATCCAGACAGTAGACTCGAAGGCTGTACTCCAGAGAAGAGCAGCAGAGGGGCCCGAAGATGGCCAGCTTCAGGCGCTTGGCTGCCGCTTTGGTGGTGGACCGCCCGACCAGGGCATAGGTACTGAGGTTCTCGGTGAGGAGGTGGCCGGCCTCTGCATCCAGCTGAATGTAGCAGGGGGTAGTGAAGTTCTCCTCTCCTACGACCACCACGTCCTGCAGGACAAGAGGGCAGGGGCTGAGGCTGCACCAGACCAAAGATCCTGCTGGCCACTCTGATGGTGGCCAGCGGGGCAGATAGAGCAGGGCCTCTTCTCCTGAGTTTTAATTATTATTTTCCCTTTCTCAGGCTTTGTTATACCTCTATTTCCTTTCTTAATCAACCTCTCCCTTACTTCCCTTTTCTTGATTTTGCTAGTACCTTTATTTAGACACCTTTTAGTTAGTAGGTTTGGATCTTCTGAAAAATCCACAATTGGAACCTACATCAAATTCTAAAGAAATTCATGAATTATCCTTTTAGTGTCAGTGTACCTGTGTCTGTTATCTGTTTTTGATAATTTAATGTTTTAATCTCAAAATTTCTTATTGAATCTAAAAGGATGATTTTATTTTTGAAATTTCTTATTGAATCCAAAAGGATGATTTTATTTCAATGTTATTATAGCATAGTAGTTTTTTCCCCTAAAAATCTAGGGGCTTGAAAAGAATTAGAGAAATTAAGGAATTATTCAATACAGCTCTCCTCTGTTCTTCCAAACTCACCCACCAATTACTTTCCAAAGCAACATGTTGTTTCTCCTTAGTAACTGGGGCTGATGGCCTCTATGGAAAGCACAGAGTGGCAGGCTCCATGCCTATAAGACACTTTTCTCTGATATTTTTCATGTAAGCCTTTAAGCAGCCTATCCTCTTAGATTATGAACATATTTAACATGAAATAAAAGTGGATGTAATATATTTTATAAGAATAGTTACTAACTCCACCTGTTATGATTTTCACAAATGATGCAGGCTGCAGAAGAAATTCTCTGAAAGACTAAGCATAGGATCCATAAATCAAGGGTCTCAATTCACATACCTTCCAGGGCAGCCAGGTAATAGGGATATGTGAAGCAGGTAGGGAAGAAGACAGTAAGGAGTGGTAGAGACTGTGGTGAAACAGAGCACAAGCCTGTCTATAGAGTTCAATCTCCTCATGGCTTCAGGCCATTGCAGTTCGGAAGGGATGCAGGCACTGTGAGCACATGGCCTTTAATTTTTCCAGAGAAGCTGGAAGTTCAGATTTTTATGTGAAGTTTTCCAACTTCTAATTAATTCAAATTCAAAAGGAAATTTCACGAGGGAGAAATAAGATATGTGTGTGGGCATGATTCAGCCTCCCCATTAGGATACTTAATCTCTGCAGAGGCAGGAAGTATATCTACTTTGCTGCTTGCTGTTCCTCAATGGGTCTGGCTCACGGTGAGCAAATGGTAATGTGTCAAAAGAAATGAATAAATGCTTCATCATAAATTGAGTCCCTGGGGCTGGGCAAAGATATGAAAGAAGCAGCCGCCTCAGGTGGCTGTTTATTAGGTAGGCTTGCAACATCGTCTGAGCTATAGTAAGAGCTGTATCTGAACAGCATCTATGAAATCAGTTCTTCAACTGAACCTGTACCCAGAAAGGAAGCTTCAGCTGAACTGGAAAAGAGAGAAAGCAGCTCAGCACCTCCAGGTTTATTCCAGACCTAAAAGAACACTTAGAAGGAAGCCGATTTCTCCAGCAGGGCCAAGGCAGGCCTCAAGTATCATTGAATAATGGCATGCTACAAAGGCCTCCTAGGAGAAATGGCTGGAAATAAAGATGCTCCATGTCCCTGTCACAGGTATAAAATTGTTTTCATAAGGATTGTCCTCTCTTTCTATTCTCAGGTCTTTATTTTATTATTGTAATAAAGATATACCCAAATATAACCAGGCAGCTGTTGTAAATGTTATTATAACTGAATCCAGAAAAACCAGGGTATTGGGGTGTTAGGTGGAGAATTGTGCAAACAATTTAAGATCACTGGAGATTAAGGCTTTCTGATGTTTTCAAGATAAAACATTTCAGGCTTAAATGGAAGTGAAGTTAGATATGGCTAAGTCTGGTCATCACTCAACAGAAAGTATATCCCTAGACTTTAATGCTGAACTTCAGGCTCTCTGGAAGGAGTGATCCTCTCCTGTGGCCACAAGGAGAACATGTCCATAGGAAGAAAATTCTAGTTAAGCCCAGTAGTAGATGCCCTGCTACTCTTCTAACTCTAATTTTATTTTTCCTAAAATAATAGGGGCTTGCATCTTCATGTATACTTTTCTTTAAAAATGTCTTTCCCTAAGAAGAAAAATACCATGAGTGTGTAATATATGAAGTGTGTAATATATGGATGAATACGTTTTTTTGTAATGATTAAACAAAAATACAGGAGTAGCTTTTAAAACTACTACATATTTTTTGATAAACATATTCCTGATAATATGCTTTCCTGAGAATCATCTAAATGTAATGTTTAATTTGGCTATTTCCCTTTTAAACAAAAGATACTGTTTATTCAAAGGACATGATGAAAATACACAAGTTCTTTTTTAACGTATTTGGTAAAAAATCTTCACGGTAAATAGGATAAATCCTTTTGCCCTTTATCTTAAGTGCTAAATAAAGAGTTCTGATGTAAAGAATGGGATCTGTTTAAGGCATTGTCCTTAGGAAGTCATGATGGCAACAGCTACAGGGCCAGGATGCCACAGCGTTCTTCATTCTAGTGGAGCTTAGCCGACATACCCTTTCTGTTTTCCCAAGTTCGGAAGAACTATAATCCCAGGACTTGTCTACAGGTCATTGCTCAACATTTTCTGACCCAGATGCAATGTTTCTCTACCTGTAAATTAAAATGCTATCTATGTTTTCCTTCCCAAGATATAGTTAGTATGTATATTCCAAAAGGAACTTGTATAATGCCCATGAGTGCATGTTCCCTGTGAGTTAGCTGATGCATGACATTTAGCTTCTTCATGCCTTTCAATCAGTAGCTAAAGTAGTCAGGAATGAGTTTCTCCCTTTCTCTCTTATTTTGAGTACAAGCCACCATTCTTCCCACCCATGTTGTGCTTTAAAAAGAAAAGGCTTCCCATAATTTCTCCCATTTATTGCATGGATTGTTCCTGAGTTCCATCTTTATCCCCACATTAGCTCACCTCCCACTGTCCCTGGGCTGCCTGGTTCTTGAGCTGTATCTTCCAGTCCTCAGTGCTGGGATCTGCACAGTGATGCACAGTTAGGATGACGGGGCGGGTCAGCAGGGCTCCTGGAGGCCCACAGCTCACTACGGGGCTCAAGAGGGTCTGCATGTCCTCCACGGGTGGCCTAGGAGGAGAGCAGAGAATGGTTGCAGTGGCATTTCTATAGTATTTACGTACTATGTACTCACTGAGAATTGGGAGTTAAAGTTGTACAAATGGTTTCTTCTTGGAATGTTTCCTCTTTTTCTGGGAAGCAGAGGGAGGCAGAATTAAATGGGAAGACATGCTTTTTATGCCAAGACTTTGATCTTGCAACACTGGAGGTCTTCACAATAACAGTGAATCTGCCAGAATCTCTTTGATTCTCTTTCCTCAGACATAGGTCTGCCTTTGGTAACTTCTTCTGAATTCATGTACAGATACTTTCAGGATGGAATGAGAAGGAATAGAGTCCTTATATAACCATCTTTTCTGATATTACTTGCCATTGGTCTTAGAGAGTTTTAAATATTTTTGTTTTTAGGGTCTAACTTGAAAAATACTTTAGAAAAAAATCACTTCAGATTGAGGACACCTCAGAGCTAAACTTCTAAAATGACTGTCAAGAATAATTCAGGCTGTCAGAGTGGATTCATTCTTTCAAATATAACCAGGCAGAATATAGAACTGTATACTATAGTTTTAGAATTTAAAATGAAATCTACTTGTATACTTCATTCTCAGAGGATATAAGCAGAAAGAACCTCAAAGATCTAAATTCTTTATTTTCACATATTGTTTTACATAATTGCCTTAAATCCTTTCCCTAACAAGACTGTGATCAACAAGCAAATGGATAAATAAACCCAAGCTATCAGCTGGCACATGGGGAAGTAGTCCCAAGGCACGGAGTGGCTTTCCCAAAGCCACACAGCTAACAAGGGCTGGCGCTTCTCAACAATATCCAAAACAACTCTGTCAGAAGAGCACAACTTCAGAAGTCATGAACTCAGAATTTTAGAGGAGAAAGGGCCCTCGGGGTCAACAAGGACCACCTTCCATGCAAAGCAAGAGCTTTTTCACATATGCTGACACAGGTCAGTGTTTTAGCCATGTCTGCAACTCTAGTTCACAACTCCTGAGGGTCACTTCATCTATTATCACCTCCAAGGTATAAAATATTCTTATGCAGAATGAACACAATCTGCCTTGCTGATATGTAATCTCCACATATCCTTGACCTGCTTTCTCCCCACTCTGGCATGTAGTGGTAGAGACTGTGGTGAAACAGAGCACAAGCCTGTCTATAGAGTTCAATCTCCTCATGGCTTCAGGCCATTGCAGTTCGGAAGGGATGCAGGCACTGTGAGCACATGGCCTTTAATTTTTCCAGAGAAGCTGGAAGTTCAGATTTTTATGTGAAGTTTTCCAACTTCTAATTAATTCAAATTCAAAAGGAAATTTCACTAGGGAGAAATAAGATATGTGTGTGGGCATGATTCAGCCTCCTCATTAGGATACTTAATCTCTGCAGAGGCAGGAAGTATATCTACTTTGCTGCTTGCTGTTCCTCAATGGGTCTGGCTCACGGTGAGCAAATGGTAATGTGTCAAAAGAAATGAATAAATGCTTCATCATAAATTGAGTCCCTGGGGCTGGGCAAAGATATGAAAGAAGCAGCCGCCTCAGGTGGCTGTTTATTAGGTAGGCTTGCAACATCGTCTGAGCTATAGTAAGAGCTGTATCTGAACAGCATCTATGAAATCAGTTCTTCAACTGAACCTGTACCCAGAAAGGAAGCTTCAGCTGAACTGGAAAAGAGAGAAAGCAGCTCAGCACCTCCAGGTTTATTCCAGACCTAAAAGAACACTTAGAAGGAAGCCGATTTCTCCAGCAGGGCCAAGGCAGGCCTCAAGTATCATTGAATAATGGCATGCTACAAAGGCCTCCTAGGAGAAATGGCTGGAAATAAAGATGCTCCATGTCCCTGTCACAGGTATAAAATTGTTTTCATAAGGATTGTCCTCTCTTTCTATTCTCAGGTCTTTATTTTATTATTGCTGTTGTAAATGTTATTATAACTGAATCCAGAAAAACCAGGGTATTGGGGTGTTAGGTGGAGAATTGTGCAAACAATTTAAGATCACTGGAGATTAAGGCTTTCTGATGTTTTCAAGATAAAACATTTCAGGCTTAAATGGAAGTGAAGTTAGATATGGCTAAGTCTGGTCATCACTCAACAGAAAGTATATCCCTAGACTTTAATGCTGAACTTCAGGCTCTCTGGAAGGAGTGATCCTCTCCTGTGGCCACAAGGAGAACATGTCCATAGGAAGAAAATTCTAGTTAAGCCCAGTAGTAGATGCCCTGCTACTCTTCTAACTCTAATTTTATTTTTCCTAAAATAATAGGGGCTTGCATCTTCATGTATACTTTTCTTTAAAAATGTCTTTCCCTAAGAAGAAAAATACCATGAGTGTGTAATATATGAAGTGTGTAATATATGGATGAATACGTTTTTTTGTAATGATTAAACAAAAATACAGGAGTAGCTTTTAAAACTACTACATATTTTTTGATAAACATATTCCTGATAATATGCTTTCCTGAGAATCATCTAAATGTAATGTTTAATTTGGCTATTTCCCTTTTAAACAAAAGATACTGTTTATTCAAAGGACATGCTGAAAATACACAAGTTCTTTTTTAACGTATTTGGTAAAAAATCTTCACGGTAAATAGGATAAATCCTTTTGCCCTTTATCTTAAGTGCTAAATAAAGAGTTCTGATGTAAAGAATGGGATCTGTTTAAGGCATTGTCCTTAGGAAGTCATGATGGCAACAGCTACAGGGCCAGGATGCCACAGCGTTCTTCATTCTAGTGGAGCTTAGCCGACATACCCTTTCTGTTTTCCCAAGTTCGGAAGAACTATAATCCCAGGACTTGTCTACAGGTCATTGCTCAACATTTTCTGACCCAGATGCAATGTTTCTCTACCTGTAAATTAAAATGCTATCTATGTTTTCCTTCCCAAGATATAGTTAGTATGTATATTCCAAAAGGAACTTGTGTAATGCCCATGAGTGCATGTTCCCTGTGAGTTAGCTGATGCATGACCATTAGCTTCTTCATGCCTTTCAATCAGTAGCTAAAGTAGTCAGGAATGAGTTTCTCCCTTTCTCTCTTATTTTGAGTACAAGCCACCATTCTTCCCACCCATGTTGTGCTTTAAAAAGAAAAGGCTTCCCATAATTTCTCCCATTTATTGCATGGATTGTTCCTGAGTTCCATCTTTATCCCCACATTAGCTCACCTCCCACTGTCCCTGGGCTGCCTGGTTCTTGAGCTGTATCTTCCAGTCCTCAGTGCTGGGATCTGCACAGTGATGCACAGTTAGGATGACGGGGCGGGTCAGCAGGGCTCCCGGAGGCCCACAGCTCACTACGGGGCTCAAGAGGGTCTGCATGTCCTCCACGGGTGGCCTAGGAGGAGAGCAGAGAATGGTTGCAGTGGCATTTCTATAGTATTTACGTACTATGTACTCACTGAGAATTGGGAGTTAAAGTTGTACAAATGGTTTCTTCTTGGAATGTTTCCTCTTTTTCTGGGAAGCAGAGGGAGGCAGAATTAAATGGGAAGACATGCTTTTTATGCCAAGACTTTGATCTTGCAACACTGGAGGTCTTCACAATAACAGTGAATCTGCCAGAATCTCTTTGATCCTCTTTCCTCAGACATAGGTCTGCCTTTGGTAACTTCTTCTGAATTCATGTACAGATACTTTCAGGATGGAATGAGAAGGAATAGAGTCCTTATATAACCATCTTTTCTGATATTACTTGCCATTGGTCTTAGAGAGTTTTAAATATTTTTGTTTTTAGGGTCTAACTTGAAAAATACTTTAGAAAAAAATCACTTCAGATTGAGGACACCTCAGAGCTAAACTTCTAAAATGACTGTCAAGAATAATTCAGGCTGTCAGAGTGGATTCATTCTTTCAAATATAACCAGGCAGAATATAGAACTGTATACTATAGTTTTAGAATTTAAAATGAAATCTACTTGTATACTTCATTCTCAGAGGATATAAGCAGAAAGAACCTCAAAGATCTAAATTCTTTATTTTCACATATTGTTTTACATAATTGCCTTAAATCCTTTCCCTAACAAGACTGTGATCAACAAGCAAATGGATAAATAAACCCAAGCTATCAGCTGGCACATGGGGAAGTAGTCCCAAGGCACGGAGTGGCTTTCCCAAAGCCACACAGCTAACAAGGGCTGGCGCTTCTCAACAATATCCAAAACAACTCTGTCAGAAGAGCACAACTTCAGAAGTCATGAACTCAGAATTTTAGAGGAGAAAGGGCCCTCGGGGTCAACAAGGACCACCTTCCATGCAAAGCAAGAGCTTTTTCACATATGCTGACACAGGTCAGTGTTTTAGCCATGTCTGCAACTCTAGTTCACAACTCCTGAGGGTCACTTCATCTATTATCACCTCCAAGGTATAAAATATTCTTATGCAGAATGAACACAATCTGCCTTGCTGATATGTAATCTCCACATATCCTTGACCTGCTTTCTCCCCACTCTGGCATGAATACCTTTCAATATTTAGAGATTGTTATAATACACTAAAAAGTCTTCTTTATTTCAGACCAAACAACCTCATTTTTTTCAACTTTAGCTAGAAAAGTATGGTTTCCAGGCAGCTCCCTATATTTCTCTCTTTATTTTCATATAGATATCTATCAGTGTCTCAATGTCTTCTCTAAAGTGGGGCATTTTGAAATGAATCTAATACTCAAGCACAGGATAGGAGGACTTACGATTTTCTTTGATTTGGAATATGTAGTATATCATTGCCTCACAAAATTGCTGCCTTCAATTATTCCTAATCAAGTGATTAGGTATAAATATTGTTTAGATGGGAAGATTCAGATAATAGGGTTAAGCATCTCCTTTATAAAATGAGACAATGAAGCCCCAAGAAGCTTAAGTAGCTTGTTAAAGCTGACCATGCTATGTATTCATAACATGAAAGGCTCTTAGGCAAAGTCTCTATAGTTCTGTGGTTGCAATGATGGGTTTTGAACCTGTGTACAGAAATTTATATTTAGCTATTTAATTTTACCTTAATAGCTTCAGGGAAAATTTCAGGTCATCTATTTCTTAATGCTATGTCTTTCTTCCAAATATTGGCTATCTCTTCTAGTCTTTTATCCTCTGTAAATCTGATATGCCTGCCATTTATATTCTCACTCCAATCACTGCTACACTGTAATACCAGAATAGGGCAAAGACACAGACCTTTTCAAGGACACCACTTGAAACCTCTCTCAAGTCTGACATCAATACTTCGAGTTATTTAGTTCAGCCTAATATAAACACATTAAAACATATGTTGTCCCTGCACATCTTTCTACTTCATTCACATGGATGTTACAAAAGGCATATCGAGCTCCTTTATAATTGCAATGGCCACTTGAAAAGGATTTTTCTCTAGTCTTTATCTATAGTTTATATGTGAAATACTACATAGCCTAGGAGTTAGCTTTTATCTAAGGCTTACCCTTATTTAACACTTATGAATTATAGTAACTTATTTTTTTTTCTAATTGTATTGGAAGAAAATTCTCCATGATTCTCTCCTCTTTCTGCATGTTCCTGACTCTCTTTTTAAGGTGATTGCACAGCAGTCACCTTGAGATATAAAAAAAAAGCTTACCTCTGGAGCAAATGGCAGATAGGTGTACTTCCTGGTATAAAAGACTTAGGTTCTCTAAGCTCAGGGGCCCTTCCCTGGAATGCAACCACTGAAGGTATGGGTATCTGACCTTCTTTGTGTCACCCTTTTAGAACTGAGGACCAATTAACTGGCACAAAAATGATGATATTCTGGCTAATGCTACTGCAGGGAGTAATAAACTGTCCTTGGTCCCTGACCTAAGAGTCTTGTGTTATCTAACAGCATCCACAAAATTGTACAAGTCAACTTGGTAGCTTACAAGTAAGGTCAAATTTTAGAGATTCCTCAGTTCGTGGCAATTATTTCCATCAGTTCTAAGAACTCAGCTAAAGTTTGGTATAGTTTCCTCAATAAAACTTTGTGACCACTGCTTCCTCTCATTTTAAAATTTCACTAGGATCTCACCAACCTATGACTTTTCTTTCTTCGCATATAGAAAATCAAAATAATTTCAATCTCCTCTTAGTATTTTAGTATTGTCTCGATTCTTGATGAGTAATAACATAATTTTACTAAATTTAAAGTTATCTAAGTACTTGGAAATGTACTTAAACTTGGAATCACAAGGCTATTGGCAGCTTAAGAACTTATTACTATCCCCTTTGCACCTTGCATTTCATTTCCTTTTAACCCAGTTTCTCCTCCTTTCTTCCATTCTGAAATTCACTCTCTTGGAATATGTGTAAAGTGTTCCTTTCATTGTGGCATAGATGATATTACACTTATCTGCCCTAAGCAGAAACCTTATTTTTGTTTAATTCTACTTTTCCTACCATGGGGGGAGAAATAAAAAGATTGCATTTTCCTGAGCATTACACTTATCTTTTAGTTACAAGTGTACCTTGAAAAGTGAGCATTAAAGTTTTAAGGAAGAAGACTAAAGTGGAATCCATTTCAAGTGGTCCATGCAATATAGTTGGAAATTGGAAACATCTGTCTCTCAGTCGGTTGTTGTTAGCAGCCCATGCTTGAAGCAGAGAAAGGAGGGGCTGTTCGGGTCACTGAGTTGGAACAGAAGGGAGAAGACTCCCTGCTGGGTTGGGGAGCTGTCAGACCCCGACTCTCCAAGCACACCCCTGGCATGTAATATTGATGGGCACCATTCTTGCAGGAGGGATAGCAAGGGAAGGAAGAGGCAGTAGGTGTCAAAAGAATTTATTAACCCAGTGAGGTGCAAGAATGTAATGAATAGGGAAGTGGTGAAGTGGAATTCATAACAGGGGATGAAAAACAAAGAAGAAATAATGATAAGAATCTTTGTGTTTTCAAGATGAAAGAAGCAGTGTTGAAATTGGAAACATTTCCAAGCATATATGGAAGGAGTGACTGAGGGAAGGTCAGAGTGTTTAAATCCACATTTTCTTTCTTTACATAAAGGGAGGGCATAAGACAAAAATAGCAGAAAAGAGATAAAAATAAGTCCGATTCATGTTTTGTAGAAAAGGGTTTCACTCCTTTATATCTCATGTGTTATCTAAGATAGTTAAGCAAACATTCTGTGCATATTAACTGCAGGTGATATGGAAAAGAACACAAAGCAAAAATTAGCTGAAGAAGCAAGCAGCAATTTAAGTGAAAGTTCAATAATGAACACTGACTAAAGTTTTAAAGGCTTTTCAAAGTCCATATCATCTTAAATCCTAGATGGCTTCTGAAGCCTCTAGGAAATTTTCTCATCCTTTGCTTGCTGTTATCGCTGAGGAGAACTTCTACACAGAAATGCATTAATTTACAAAACTTTCACAAAAGCAACTGCATGTGTAGCTCCAGGCATATCTGCAAGGGAGTTAAGGTAAGTATTTACACTACCACTTGTTCCAGAAGAGGAAACTGAAATCTAGGGATATTAACACACTTGCCTAAGGCCGCAAAGCTATTGGAAGAAAATTCTCCATGATTCTCTCCTGTTTCTGCATGTTTCTGACTCTCTTTTTAAGGTGATTGCACAACAATCACCTTGAGAGCCAGGTTTCAAACACAAGTCATTCGGTTTGCTAGACAAAATGGCTCTAACTGCTTCCTGAAAAGAATCTGTCTCCATCCACCTCTGCGTGGAGATGAGATACCCTCTATTAACATACATGTCTTCTGTCAGGTCCCACAGGCTGACACTTCCACCCTAGGCTCACCTGCCTTTTAAAGCACACGGTTTCACATGTGTCTGGCAACATGAAGTGTCTGCACTCCAGGCATCTGACAGGGAACATCTAACTCACTTGCTATCAAAAGCTCAATTGAGCAAAAAAAGAAAAAGAGCAAGAGCATGGACCCCACTCAGAGGGGTGTGCCACCGTCTCCCTAGACTGGCCCAATCTACCCCTGGGTTAAGCCAGAACAGCCAAGTATTGTGCCCTCAACTGAACTGAACTGCTGAGTTTTGTGGGATTATTTTACCTAATTCATCCTTGGACCTCATACTGTCTCCTCACATTGAGGGAAATGAACAGTTGTGGCTCATTGAAATTCAGTGCTTTTTGTAGTTTAACATGTTGTTTGGTGTGTTAACAAAATGTCCTTTATAAGGAGCAAAAGGAGAAATAACAGAGCCTTTTCTGGGCATATTTTTTCCTCTTGAACACATGGATCTTCTAACTTACTATGTTCCCCTCTTGAAAACTTTGAAATAGCAAATTCATGACCTACTGCCAAGACGCATGCTGGGAATTACACCAAATATTTTATATTTTAACTGCTTGTGTGATTTTATCTTACCTTGTCTAATCTTACTTATCTCATTTTTCTTATTTTTTTCATTTATTTTTTCCCTCCCATTGAAAAAACTGTGTGTTTATAAACCACCTTGAACCATTTCTTGATAAATAGGATTTCAATAGATGAACGCTGTGGAAAAGTGAGAGAATAAGATTTAAAGATTCCTGGACTCCATTCCCTTCCCCCTACACCTCTAGCCTTTCTATAGGTTTTCCTTCAAAAGAGGAATTTAGGGGTCTACTTAACAGGAAGATATCACTGAGTTTCACTGAAAGATAATGTCAACTACTATTTCATAAAGTTCCGAACAACGTGTGACAACCTACATTAGACAATTTTGGCCTGCTATTAACATATTACTATTTTGTATTTATAGTCAGTAAATATATATGATAGCTTTACTTTCCTCACCACTAACTCATACAATCAACTCTTCCTACTGGAATTTCATCCTTAAAAAAATCCTAAAGGCCACCAATACCTACAGTTGACAAATCTAATAATTTGTTATTATTCTCTTTCTTTACATTTTAATTTTACTAATACCTGTCAACCACCTCCTCAATCACTAAACTCTCTTTACCTTTGATTTTCTCCTACTATATTTATAATCATATGTTCTTTCATTCAAAAACAATCATTGAGAAGCCACTCTCTGTTAAGCACAATGCTAGATGCAAACTCTTTATCTACCTGTCTTCTTACGTGTTCTGTTTAGCTCCACTCATCACGCCCAAATATGAAATCATATATCCCAAGCTTCTCCCCCCGTCCTCATCTTTTTGCCTTGGCGCTTTTCCCCTTGGAGCAGCTGCTCGCTGCTGACGTCTCATCTGCATCTCCAGCACGAAGCCCGTGCTCCACTCCCACACCTTGTGCACACCTGGGCATCAACGTCACTATCTGTCTTTTCTCCTCAACCCAGCAGCCGCTTCTGCCCTCTTTCATTGGTCTCACAATCTCCCCGTACCCAAGACTTGTGCCCAAAGTACATTCTTTGTGTTGCCACTCTTTTGAAACACTTCTGATCATTTGTGAAATACTTTTTCTTCTGAAATATTTCACTTTCCACTCTCCAGACTCAGGCCTGGGCCCTTCCCCTCTCCTCTGGCACCTGGACTGTAGCCACAGCCCCACAAAGCCCCCAGCTGCCGGCCTGGGGGAGCCTTAATGTTCCCTGCACCAATTCATCCTGCACACTGTCACCAGATCAATCTTCAAAAAGCACTGCTATTCCTCTATCATTTGGCTGCTCAGAGACCCTCCATGGCTCCCCACAGTTTACCAAATAAAGGTCTATTTATCTTTATATTTGGAATTGATTTTTTTGGCCTTTTAAGAGTATTTCTAGGCAAGCGCAGAATACAGAGAAAGGGAAAAATTAATATTTACATCTTCAAACTGTTTTTCAGTAAGAAATGACAAAGGGCAAATATTCAGTCTCATTCAGTTTCATTTCTTTAAGCTGGTACTGGAAACAAGACAAAAAGGTCCAAGTTCGTGCCATTAATTGTGGAAACTGTGTCCACAGGGGGAAACAGAGGCCTTGCAGCCTCCCCAGGGCTCCGTAAAGCAGGAGAGGTAGAAATCTGCTCAGCCTTGTGGCTCTGTTCTCTGCCGGTGACGGACAGCTTGTCCCATCTCCGCAGCTCATTAGGCTGTTCATCTACCATCCGGTGCTTTCTCTGAGAGCGTATTCGGTAATGGTAAGGCCTCTCTCGTCACATTCACTGTGTCACATGTAATTAAGTTCACACCTCCCTTTAGACAGTTCACATCAGCAGATGACCGGCTGGACACTATCCAGCTGGAAAAACACCCCATTTGGGATGCAATAAAGGGAATAAGAAAGAAGAAAAATGGAGAAAATTGATCCAGAATTTTCCTAGAAATACCTTGAAATAACATTCATAACTCTTACCTCAGACCACGTGAGGATAGAAAAGGGTCTTTAGCAAGCAATAGAAAGACCGTTCAGGAATGCTCTATAATAAGACAGAGGCTGGGTTTGTGTACTGCTGCTGTATTGGAGGCGTGGCTTGTGACAGAGTAAAGAGCTTCGAGGTGAGACAGTGTGGGTGTGAGCTTTGCCTTGCCAGTTATTGACAGTGAAATCTTAGCTTTGAGACTTAATGTCTCTTGAGCCCCAGTTTCTTCACCTTCAAAGTAAAGCCCATCATAACTTGCAGAGTTGTAGTAAGGAATACATGGAGTTAGAATCATGCTGAATAAATGGTATCTATGCTTTATATTATTACTACAGCTGAAGACACTCTTCTCATTATGTTTTTACAAGAAAAACTCATTGAGTTCACAACAGAAAATGAGCAGAGAGAGGACTTGCTCATTTATTTGCATTTTAATCTTAGGTTTGTGCCTTATCTCATAGCCTCTTGTGCATATTTTCTTTTCAGATCTTGAAGTTTGTCTAGCTTCGTTTTTACAAACAGACCTCTTTTGATGCACACCAAATTCAATAGAGTAAATTCCCTCTGCACCTAACTTCAGGTGGTAGGCACAGCAAGGAGTGATTCCTTTTCTTTAGAGTTAAAAGGAGAGGAACCTGAAAGCAGAAGTGTCTAGCTTTATCAATTTTCCATTTTCTCTTTACTCTGTCTAAAATGTACAATAATCCTGGTCAGGGTGCCAACTGAACTGTGGGGAGGAAAACCATCTGAGGCTCACAAGTGCACACACGTTCAGCTTCAGCACGATCTGGCAGCAGCCCCTTAAAGGCCTGAACTTCAGCTAAAGATAATGGTGATCAGATGGGAAATAGGAGACCACGAATACCTCACTGCTTCTCAGCATAAAGCACAAGCCAGTACTCATTCTATTTAATTTCTAAAAATGTCCATGTTGGAAAAGGCCTTAAGGAATGGATGTGCTTAGTGCTAAGCTTGACTCTGGATAAGAGAAAGAACAAAAAAAAACATATAAAGGGATCTTGGCATTTACTAATCTTCATTCCTCCAACTGCAAAAGAAGGGCATTCTGAGAGCCTGTGAATGTTACTTTGGGGTGAGAATAAAAAATTGAATATTTGATGTGAGCAAATACATGCCTTTTTAGTGACTTTCTGTTGCTCCAATTTATGGTGTGAATAATGTTCAAGGAATTTTATTATTTCTTTAGACAGGCTAGTGTTTGTATAGGTGAAAGTACACCACCTGAGAGGAAACACTTTTTGGGTTCTACAGATATAAATACCAGCATCTCCACCTAAGAGCATTATAAAAGAGCTTTTCAGCTACTGAAAACAAGACTAAAATGGATGTTTTTCTGAGGATGAGCTGGGAAAGAGAAAAGGTATAATGTGTTATAATGATAACCTAGTTCTACATTTGTCACTCATGCTTTGTATTCAGAGCTCAAGGCTGAGAAGCCGATGCCTTTGCCTTTGGGACAAACAGTGATAATCACATGTAAGAATTTCTTTCAACAACATCTTTTATTTTAAGATCTCAGTGTACTTCAGAAGCCTTTAATCAGGCCTTTAAAGCACTATTTAACACATGCACTTTATGTTGAACTGATCAAGAAAGACCACACATGATTTGTTAGAGGTCAGACTGGAAGTTGAATTTTGGGCTTCTAAACTTCTCTTGTTATTTTTACTTAAAATAGCTTCATTTTTATGATCATGACACATCATCAACCCTAGATCTATGCAGAAAGACCCAATATGGAATTTGTAAGTGCTGAACATAGAAGGAGCAACACTTAAGCTAGAGTCACAGAAAGAAGAATCTGCAGGTGAGAATAAAGAGCTAGGCTGAAATGATGATGGCTGGTCAGGGGTTAAGGGGGTTGTCTAATTCTTCATGACTTTTAACTCTATAATGGGAATAGGCTGGATTCTTGAGCCAGGTCGCCAGGAACCAGCCACCTCTGTGTCTCTCCACGTATCTGTTTGGACAACCTGTGGATCACATTCCTGGACATTTTTTTCAGCCAGTATGGCCACATGACCACTTTGGAGAAAATCTCTGGTCTTCTACCCATACTCAAGATCTGCAAAGTGTCTGGAGCATCAAAGATAAAGAGAAGTAAAAGCTGACCTTTTATCGGTCTAGGGAGAAAAGGGTGTGCCGAAAGGAGAGCACTCAAGACAAAAGCATGTCGGGTTTATTCTTTCTATTGCACAATTCTCCTCCAAGTCAGACATTGATAAAGTCAAGTGCACCAGAAAAAGCATATTTACCTCATATTTTCTTTCCTGTGTACAGTCACATACATTTCGTAGACTCTCCCTTGGGGAATGGCCCCAGCGGGAATCAGCAAGCTTACTCCTGAATAGCAAAAGAGAAAAGCAGTCACATAAGACCTATGAATCAAAAGGAAACTTCCCCGAATGCCTTTGAAGCAAGTGAAAAGGAATGGGGAGATTTTGCAGCCATGTAGCCACAAGCCTACTTTTTCTGTGAAGACATGTAAATACTCAGAGCTGCCCTGCTGTCGCTCCTTAGTGGCTTTCCTTGTTACCGCAGCTCCCTCTGAACAGTTACGGAATTACTTAAAGGAATGATGTAATTTTTAAAACTCTTGTTTTATTTAAGGAATAGACAGATGGTTCCACTGCTGTTTTCCTTGTAAAATGAGGAGAAAACCAACAACCGCTCTTAAAATTTCAAACAGCTGTACTGACACATCATTTCTAATTAAAAAAAAAATCCTCACAAGATTCAGAGTCAGGGAAATGCTAACTTCAACAATATCAAAAAACACTTATTTCTGAAATATTTGGCTAGTATCAGTGTTTTTCCATAACAGAATAATAATCGGTAAATAACTTCTTTCATGATAGAGAGGGAAGTGAACAGTGACTGCTATTTTTAATTGCAGCAGGTCAAACAAGTTTTTACTCAGTACTAATTGTACCATTTGGTAGGACTATTGATGGAGCCCTGTTCTAAATTGTCTTCAGCAGTGATTTGCAACTTGACCTTGGACCAGAATCATCTGGAGGACTTGCTACAAAACAGATTACTGAATCCTGCCCCCAGAGTTTCTGACTCGGAAGGTCTGGGTAATATGCAGCAACTAGTGATTGATGCCAATGACGGCAGGTCTGTGAGAACCAGCGGCTGCATTACTGCAGTCATACCACAAAGAGTAATTCAAGGTGGGCAGCAACTTGAAGAGACTTAGCTCTATGATTTTACTCCCATAAATGAAGTTAATTTCTCTCACTAAAAATGTATGTTGCATCACTGTGAGGACAGTGTTTGGCACTGTTGTGAATGCCAAGAAGTAAGAGAGCCCGTTCTTGTCTTTGAGTGGCTTACAATTTAATTAGCAAGGAAATGGAATCTGCCAAATGAGCAAAGGGCAATCAGGAAACTTGCCCGACCATACTGGAAAGGCTCAAGAACAAAGAATGGAGAGTTAAGGAGGAACAGTTTATTTGAAGGCGTTTGTAAAATGGGTTGAAGTCCTGTTGTTCTTGAGAAGGAAGGGGATGTGAGAGCTGTGGCTCTGGGGGGCAGATAGTCACACCAGTGCGCAGCACAGTTCCTTGAGGCACAGAGTGAAAGCAGGAGGACCACACATGAGGCTCTCAGGCCTTGGGACTTCTATTTTTTCTGATGGAACAATAAAATAGACCTTTATATTTGTTATGGGGATGAAATGAAATGATGGGCGTAAAGTAACAAGAATAAGCCTTGAAGCAATATTAGCTAACTATTTTTACTCTATCAAATAATGTATGTGAATCACCATTGATCAGTATATAGAAATTATTTGATACAAGCTAGCCCTCTCCTTTACACTTACAAAGCCTTTATAACACTTCATACATGAAAAAGTGGTAGGTGTAGAAAGGAAAGGCAGAATCCAGTGAATACCATGAAAAAAAACTGTCTTGGGAATAATATAATGTTTAAATAATGGAAGAACAATAGAGTATATTTTGATTATTCATTTCATAGACTATTAAAATATATTGAAAATCATGATTTTAAGCAGCATACAATAGCCTGAGAATTAATGAGAAAAGGTGAAAAAAACACATTTTCTATACTATATGACCTCAGCTACATAAAGCATATAGAAAAAAGAAAATGATATTCCATTAGGTATTTCAATTTATTAAAATATGCTTTTAAAGGTAAGGCAGGTGAGAATTGCCAAGGCATTGACATGGAACCGAGTATGAGGAAGAATCAAAGATAAGTTCATACTGAGACCTGAAGACCAGTTGGTTCTGTCTGTCCAATCAATTGAATGGTTGGTTGTTTACACATTATATTCTTTTCTTAAGCTACATGAAGGCTTTTAGTCAACCAAATTGTTTCTTAGTGTTATATTTGCAAAACACTCAGTCTTGTCCAAAAGAACTATAGTAGATTCACAGAAGATTCATTAACAGGCTTATGACCAATAGTTACAAACACACTACTAGTATTGATTAATAAATGCCAAACTGTAATAAAAAAGTATCAGTCACTAACTTAAATTCACCATTTAAGACCTTTATGAGGATTATTTTCTAGAAGCAGATACTACATAATAAACTGAAACCTAGGTAATACAAAAGGACACAGGATGAAGCTGTGGTTCTAGATAGATACAACAGAAGTAGGAATGAGTGCCTTATAAATACCTTTAAGTTGAAGACTGTGAAATAAAGAGTTAAATTAATAAATGAAGATTTTCTCTCTATTATGATATCCTCTGATTATCTAAAAATTAGTAATCTGAAGTATGACTCCTATAGTAAACTGGAACTGAACCAACTGATATGTTTTATAATTAATTTGTCCTTTTAAAGTTAAAGTGTGATGACAACAGAGAGGACTTTGTGCTTGATGTTGCCTTCTGAAGCTCTATTAAAAAGAAGGTCAATGACAGTTCTAATTTACACCTTGGCAGAAAGTTGTAAGTATAATAATATTTCTAGAAGACATGTTTTCAGAGTTGGTTGGAGGAAGATAAATGGTTTTACTGATTTTTGTCTGGTGTAATGTTGGTTTATGTTGAAAGGAGATTTGAATTAGATAGGCTGCAATGATCTTTTCAATTATTAAGAAACAACAACAAAAAGATTATGGTACAAAAACATTTTCAAGAACTATTTTCGAAATTTAAACCCTTAGGAATTACCTGAATTGGGAACAATAAGGTGCCCCCCAAGGGAGTTGAAGGTGCCAAATGCAGTACAGGATGGATCAGTCTGCCTTGCTAGACTCTGATTCTTCAGGTTGAGGGCTTCATTCTCCAACAGGGATTGGGTCATCTGAGGGGAAAGCTTTGAAGCAAATTCAGAGAGGTCATCTTGGGGGGTGACAGCACCTGAAGTGCTGTATACTTTGATTTTCAGGTTGGGCAGTGGATCCAGAATTGGAGAATTGGTCATTGGGATTTTGTCTGAGACATCATGCAAGGCATACACAGGTCCTCTGTACATGGCTGCCGCTGATGTGAGGTCTGGGGGTACCACCAGGAGATCTGAGTCAGAAAGAGAAATTAAGTCCATTTGCATTCTCCATTCAGGCAACTCATATTAGTCAAACTCCCCTGACACTTTCTGAGCCAAAAGCAAAGCAACTTGGTGAACAGCAGAGATGTATAGGCTCTAAGGTTCTGCCGAAAACAAGGCCATTAGATAATTAGGATCCACTTTATTATTGGCTACAAATAAATAGAAGAGTTTGCTCCATATTTTGCCTTGAGGTCTACTCATTGCTCCCAAAGTATTTGGCTGTTTTAACAATTTGGATTTGTAGACAGTGATTCCCCACTAGGTGTCTACTGGGTGACAGTTTCTTGTCGACACTGGATTTGGGTTCATCTGTACACCACTGGATTGGTGGCAATACAAGATGTCTTGTCAAAAGGAAAGGAGACTCAAGAAATCAGTCAACCAATCTGTGTACTCTTTTCACAGTTTAAAAGTATGACAGAGAAACCTGTTAAGGGAAAAAAAAGATGATCTGCACACCTTGCCAACTCTGAATGAAGCTAATGCAGTAATGAATGAAACAGAGCAAATCTCTGTCTGCATGGAGCTTATGTTCTTCCTCAACTGCACTGCTTTGACACCACACAGGGAGACTGCTTCCATGCTGAAGCCACAGGTGTGAAGAGCAATGTCAACTGACCTTGTCTTGCTGCCTTGATATTCACAGGCTGAAAGCCGCCATTGAGTGCAGAAGAGTCTATAATATCAGACTCAAAGTCACGATGATTCTTCCGATACACAAATAGGGCCACAACCACAGAAATGGCCAGGCAAACTATCACTGCTATCACAATGCCAACATAGAGAGCAACATCGTCTGAATCGGGAGCCGCTAGAGAGGAGAAGAAAACATTCGACTAACCAGTTAGAGAAATTTCCCACAGTATACATATGTATTGCTATAATTTTTTCAGACATTTATTGCCTTTTTTATAGGTTAATTTCAAATCTATTTCAAAAGCTATATAAAACTCCTGTGGCCTTTCGGTGGAAAATTATCTCTGATTTCTTTCCCTTTCTCACTTTGCATCTATCCACTCACTAATCTATCTTAAATTGGACAGCATAACAGACCATTTATTACAAGGCATAAAAGAAACTGGAACTAAAGCCATTCCAATGCACAGGAAAAAACAGTTTTTACCAATTTCAGGTGGAAAAGTTGGGAAGGTGGCTTGGAATTCACTGATAGTTCTTCAAAAACATAAACACAAACACTCTGTTGGAAATATCTGGCATGTTCTGAATCTGAACCAGAATATTTTCCTAAGTATCCTTCCAAGTCATAAAATCACTTTTCACAGTACCTTTTTCATTTTCTCCTAAATCAATGAAGGAGTGGGTGGGAATGGTGTAACTAAGCAAAACAAATATTAGAAGCAAACATGTTGGATTTGAAAGGTATGCTTTCAGAAGGTCCAGATCTGAGAGCAGAGGTTAATGCTGATAACTCCAGGCTTTTGATACAGATTCAGTATTACCTCTGAGAACTTTGAGCTTCTCACGGTCTCTTGTCAGAAATTTACATTTGAGCTACTAATTACTGGAATAAAATACAGTCTATGGTACACTGAGTAAGATAAAGGTCTGGTTCAGTGATCAGAAAGGTCAGACTACCCCAGAAAGTAAGTAAGCATTCGACCAACACAGTGTATCGTCCGTTGGGGGTCTGTTTCTACTAAAGAAAGAAGAAAATGCCTGTAAATATTGCCTGTTGCCTTAGTGGCATAGAACATGCTTTGATCCAACTGCAAAAGGTGACAGAAGTTGATAAAACAAAATAAACAAAATCAAACCATTCCTGAACCCCACAGACATCTTTGGTCTCTGTTTTTTTTTTTTTCTGTGACCCATAAAGATTTTTCAGGAAAGTTAAGTGAAGCTGTTCCACTCACTGTAAAAGAGGTAATTAACTGGTATTTCAAGTAGTTAGGAACAAATATCCTCTTTACACTCAATTTTATATACATGTGCATTTGGGGAGAAGAAAAACTTCAGATTCTTGGGCCCATAACCTCCTAAAGGTTGAGGAACCACCACTCTGTCTGAGACTCACAGTCACGTGGCCTGAGTGGGAAACTGACTCATTGTTTAGATTGACAGTGGCTCCCATGATCGCCCAAACTCTCATATCACAGTACCTTCAACACTATGACAGTTGTAAAGGAATTCCTTGTTGGAAATTGCTCTACCCCTTTATCATTTTGTGTTTAAATAGACCGTATGTGAAAGGTTTTTTTTTTTTTCTTTTCGAACTACTGTCTTTCCCAGAGTTTCCAGAATATCAGCTTTCATGTCAATCAAGTCTATCCTGGCAGATCTTTTCAGTGCACCAGTGACATGACTTGTGCAAGTGCTGTCTTCAAAGTGTGCCTTCCCTCTGCTGCGGGGTATTATCTGAGACAGCACCAGCATTCCAAACTCCAGGCTGAAAGTCATAGCTAAATCTTTCATGTTTTACTTTACTAGGCCACAATTACTTACTCAACATTCATGATTTCTAACTTAAAAAGATCTCCATTTTCTCACCTCCTTACTTTTTAGCATCTGAACCCTGTCCTTCATTTATATCAGCATATTTCAGTATGTTTTGTCAGCTACTGGCACTGAAGCTTTGAATGGTAGATTGATAGATTTGAAAGCTGGCAGAGACTTGAAATGACCCTTTCCTCTCTTCAACAGGGAAAATCTAATTTGTTTTTCATGTTAGAATATATTAGATGCCTATTTCCCGTGTGCACATCTGTGATCCAAAGAAAGGTAAACTTGAACTAGGAGCAATAATGTTAAATGATGATTCAGCAACATAAAAGCCAAATATCAAACTTACAAGAAAATCCATATTCATTCTGGGTTCTCTGTTTAGTTGAAATAGGATAAATGAAACCTTGAAAAGAAACAAAAAAATGAAACGAAAATGGGAACAAAATCAAATTAATGAGAGAAACAAAATTAGAAGCATGAAAAATGGTTCAATTAAAGGAAAAGGAAAAGAAACCTGTAAGTCCTTTAAAATTCTGGTTCAGTACAGAATTATGATTTTGCATCCCCTGTCTGCTCTGGAGCCTCACCAAGAATTAATAAGTAGGCAGATTGAATTTCAGAGCAAAAACTGGTCTCGAGTCACTAACTTTGGAGTGCTTAAAGTCTTTCTTTTACTGAGCATAAACTCTAATGGATCTAATTTATTTCAGACATCAAGGGTCATTAGCATAAGGAAAACCTTTTTTCTTTATCCCTGCCATATGCTTTAATTCCCAGTACATATTCAGTAAGGCTCTAAACAGATTTTTTTTTCTTTTTTATTTAATCATGACAGCTTGCTCTAAGTCAAATAGAACTAAGGAAAACCTGCCATCATTGGTCAAAGGTTAACTACTCATTGAGTGAGCGAAGCTGAGACCACCTCTCCTCCCTCCATCTCGAATCTGCTTTTTGGATTTTGGGTTGTTTCTTGCCCCTCCATTTAATAGGAATCCAATAGGTCTTGCCCAGGGACTGAGCAGTTTGTCAATGCAATAGAAACTGAATGCTTTTTATTGGCAATCATTCAAAAATCAATAGAGCCTAGAGGTTATAAGGTTTTTTATTTTAGGGCTTCAGAATAATAGTGTGAGTCAGGCAAAATAAAAACCTCATCCCAACAGTAAATGCAGAAATAACACTAGCAATTTTTTTCTTTCTTTTTAGTGTATCCAAGGTAGGAAATTGGTGATGATGATGATGATGACAGTAATAATAATAATAAATAGTAATAATGTGAAGTAGATTAGAAAACATTTCAAAATGTTTAATAAAAACTTTTTGAAAGGAAAAATCTATGGAAATTTAAAAAGTATAGCACAATTGGCACCCATAGTTTCCTAATAGTTAATATTCTGCATTACATGAATTAATCAAATGATACAGCACCATTTGGATTAATCAAATGAAGACGAAAAAGAAGCATGTGAATTAAACTTTCCTACAAATACTCAAGGGCGAAACGTAGAGAAACTGTAAGAATCACAATTATTCAGTTCAAAATTAAAGGTCTGTAATGCTTTAATACTAAAGGTAACTAAATCGTGCTTTAGGTAGGTCTTATGTAGTTTGCAGAACACTCAGTTCTTACAAGGCATTTATCTATTTTGGGGAACTAATATTGGAAGAACACATAGTGCTACCTTAATGAAAGAGAGGTTTGCTGTAGCACAGACAGGTTTGCTCTGAATTAATTTTTAATGCTTTATTTTAGAGTAATGATTACAACCTCCTACTCAGTTTTATAAATATTATATTCCTTATTCCAGTTGTCAGAGTCCATGTATTAGGTTTGATTTTCATTTTTAAACACTTCTGTCTGGTAATAACCTTTTTCGATTTGTATTCTGTGAACTCAATAAAAGGACATCTGGGACATATCCAGCACTGGAGGAAAGGTTATTTATTTTTGGAACACAAAGATTTAAGACAATACAAGTTCACTGCTACTAGAAAAGACAAGATAACTGATGTGGTCATTTTTGTAGGGATGATGTTAAATAAAGGATGTCAACAGATTTACTATTTTTTTTGCAGGTTACAAGGCCCAGAAATGAGTGTAAAATAGGGTATTTGGGGCTGGTCCGATATTCACTCTGAAAATTTTGTTAGGAATCATCATGGGCTGCTGGAGAAAGCAGAACTGTACCTTATAAAGGGACAAGCCAATCTCCACAGAGATACAACACAGTCTGAAATCTCTCCCTGGGCAGTAGTTTGGGTTTTCCTTGCATTTTACCCTTATTTCCCAACAGAATCCCTATTTTTGACAGGCAAACCAAGGAATAATAAAAGGGAACTGTATAATTTTGATTTAAATCTCAACTTTCCCATATTTATGTAGATCTGAACAACTCAATGAATATTTTTGTGCCTTATGGTATTTACCTGAGATGTGTATTTCGTTCTGGATGCAGAACTGGAATTCATTCATTCATTTGTTCATTCATTCATTCATCCATCCATCTAACAAATACTCTTGAACCCTATTATGTGCTGACAAACAAGATACGAAAAGTCCCTGCTTTTATTCCAGCTTAACAGAAAGTAAGTAAAAAGTAATAAGTAAGACCATTTGAAATGCTGAAGTCCTTCTAAAAAATAAATAAATAATAATAATATAATGTGATAGGAGGTAAAGAGTTGACCAACTTAGGGAGTCAGGGAAGAATTTTCTGTTGAAATGAAATGTAAACTGAAGCTTGAACAATGAGAAAAAAAATCAGTACAGATCAAGAGGGAATAATATTCTATGAATAGGGATGGTAAATGCAAAAGACCTGATAAAAATGGAGCAGTTATAGCACAGTGAGTGAGAGAAAAAAGGGAAAAGTAGACCAGAGGAGTGAGCAGCGGCCAACATTGTGGCCCATATTGAGACATTCTGATGTTATTTTAAATGAAATGCAAATCCTGTGATTGAATGTAATTTTGAAAAGATCCCTTTGGTCTCTCTATAGATAATGGAGATCAAAGGAAGTAATGTTGACATGATGTTATGGATGGTTTTTATAACACGTGGCTTACGAGAGGTCTATTTATAGGTGTGTATCAATATAGTTGATGATGTGTTTGCATTTGAGGTTGTTCTAAACTAAAAAATAAATAAAAGTCCCATTATTAACTATTCCCCAGAGCCAATTAGGACCAATGTAACCAAACTGTTAATTTTCCCACATAGGAAAACTTAAAACAGACCAGTTTTAAGTATACTTACTAATGGTTCAACACCTGTATGTATTCTTTTATGGCAACACTGATAGTTTTAGAAGGCAACTCTGTAAAACTTGTTCCCTCCTTTTCAAAAGACTTCTGCAACTACAGAGCTAAAACATCACTTAGGTGCCTGGGAATCAGAAAAGAAGGGGATTACTGTTCCATCTCATGAATGAGGGGACCACAGAATCACTTTCTAGGGTTTATCTTACACTTTTCCATCTGATTCTTTCCTCATGGAATAACAGGGGACATTTCCTTCAGCTAATGAGGTGGCCCTGCTGAGAACAGCCCTAGCAATAGTGAAAAATAACATCTCTGGCAGAACACAGTACAAAATAACTGTTTTTAGTGTCCTAATCAACAGACTGGCTCATAAGTTAGGGATTTCAGTTAACTTTTCTCTTTACTTGAAAGGAAGGCGGACTGACAAAGCACCACTGGCTGCTCACCAAGGCAGTGAAACTGAGTTTCTCAGTCTATGAACCTCAGTTGGAATACCAGCGCGGCCACTTCCTTAACTATGACAGTTTGGTTGCACTACTTCACTTCTCTAAGCCTCAGTATTCTAATCCAATCTGGGTAAAAGGATCTGAATACTGACTTCCCTACCACTGTGAAAATGAGATTTGTAAAGAGCTGATACACAGCAAGCAATCAATAAATGACAACTATATCAATATCATCATGATGAATTGTAAATACCCTAAGACTCTGGATTCTCAAGGGATTTTATTTCTAGAGTTGATTCAGCCTATTGTTTAATGACTTTAGGAAATGTGTTTGAATTTCACGTTCCCTAGTTATTACAGAGACAAGGAGCCCTTAGGTTTTCTGAGAAATCACAAGCAATGCACTCTTTCAAGTTCTGTATACTCTCACCCTGTCCTTTGAAGGAGGTTTATTCCTGGCCTTTGTGGCTTCTGGCAAAGATATAGTGGCATGTTTCAGAAGCAAATTTCCAAGGCCAGTGTGCAACCTGATGCTAAAACGATTCTCAACCAGAGGTAGCACTTGGAAAGGGGCAGGATAGGTGTTTCTTCAGCCGGTTGTCGTAATGGTTAGGGAGTGTTTATGGCATCGAGTGAATGAAGGCTCAGAATACTGACTGTCCTGCAATGGGAGGAACAGCTATGTCATGGAAAAAATGTCTGGGACAAAACACACCTCCACTGATAACAATTGTCAACATCATCTCTCTTGGACGGACGGAAGGAGCAAAGGTCCGGGTCAGGAAGGGTGCTGGGCAGCCTCAGTCACTGCACCCATGCCGGGGAAGCCAGCCCCAAAGCTGGGCTTCTGCTGCAGGATGTGCTCGCACCCAGGACCTCCTTTGTTTTCAGGAATTTTAAAGAATATACAATCTTCAACGAAGAGATTTTCTCAACCTCAAAGAATAGCATTAAAGGAAGTTTGATGGTGGAGAGAAACCTCAAGTGAAGACGTGAACATTTGAAAGGTGGAGCAAGAGTAGGCTGTCAAACAGTGACAAGAAGTAACTAGCGGAATGCTCCTTAGGCTAGAAAGCCATCTCCTAATTACTGAAAAGGTCATTCTAAGAGGTTATCTAGTCCAACCTTTTTCAGATGAAGAACATGAGTCCCAAAAGTGAAAGTGGTATTTTAAAGTTATTAAAAGAGACTAAAATTTGGTTTCTATCTTCCCATCCGCAGAGCTGGCAGTGTACAGGTTTGGCTTGTCCAGTCCTGGGTGGCCCTTTCACATCTGGGTTGGCTGTAGACCTGGATTGTTATAATTTAACGATTTTCTGGCTGATGGTGATAAAGTGACTTAAGGAAGTAGTAATGTTTTCTAATTTTCACAAGGACATCCTTCAGACTACAGGTGGGCCCACCCACATTTTTCAGCTGATGTTCAATTACTATAAAAGATGGGAGCCCAAGCCCAGGTATCTTAGAGAGGAAAGTGAGCTTTCCTTGTTGGCTTTGCACTGTGGTAAGTAACAGTCAAGTTATCCTTACATACATGGCTTCTAACTGTGTAAATGTACTTGAACATAGCCTCTTTGGTGGGTGTATATCCAGATTTCAGAAAAAATACCAGGAACTATATGCAAATTTTCATTTCCTCAATAAACAGCAACTGTTTTGATTTTTCTAGTCTTTTAAATTTGTTTTTCCATGCAGT